CTCCAAAGAGCTCACGCCTCACGGGCCTGCTATGGGCGGGGTGGCTTCACGACAACAGGACAGCCAGGCTGTGAGCTCTCGCTGCTCGTGCCCGGCGCACACCTGCCCAGCCTGTATACAGTTATTAGCAACAAGAAAGCGGGGGATGCGAGCGTCACAGCGATGCAAAGCGGCAGCAGGACGTGGCAGCTGGGCGGCTACATGGACTCCTTCTCTGTTAGAAATTTTCATGTCTGAAATTTTTTGCTAGGAAAAAAACTTGGAGAACTTTTAAATATTTCCCCAGATAAATTAGAAAAATTAAAACTTTCTCAGGAAAACAAATTGAGAGATTTGGAAAAAAAATATTTAAATAATGTCAAATCAATAATTCAAAATCCCTTTCTGGGAAATTAAGATATCCGTTATCGGTGTACCCTGCAGGTGTTCCTGGCGTGCCTCAGCAGCCTGCAGGAGGCGCGCATCCTCACCGAGGTGGACAAGGGCCGGCTCTTCGGCAACATCGTCGACATCCACGCGGCCAACGCCTTCTTCTGGGAGCAGTTCCTGGCGCCGGTCGTGGCCGCCGCCCGCGACGGCCGCCAACCGCTCAACCCCAGCCACCTGCTTGAAGGCTTTCTCAAGGTCAGCGTCCAGCTCAGTGTTGTTCCCGAGCAACGCAACTTTTAAATTAACCCTTATTACTATTATTTGAAAAAATCATTCTATCAATTTCAAAATAAAGAATTTTTTTCTGTTGGGAATTGTTTTTGTGAGACTTTGAACTCTCTATGGCGTTGCAGTTCGAGGAGATCTTCCGGCCGTATGTGCAGTACTGCGTGGAGCAGGCCGAGTGTTCCAAGTACTGTCGAGAGCGGACGGCGGATGGCGAGCTCTTCACTGTCTACCTCGCGGTGAGTGAATGTGGTAGGAGCTCGTCGAGTGTCAACGCTGCTGTGTGAGTGTGTGGCGTGTGCTACCCCGGAAGTCCTCATCGGTGAGTCATAATGTGCCCATAGCTATTGTCTCTCGGTTTAGCCCTCTCGCGGAGAGACGCTGCTGTCTTTGTTGTTTCTCATCGACCACCAACGCGTGTATGGATTTTAAAGTTCGACATTTTTCTGGGAAAA